ACACACACACACACTAATATACATACATACATATATATATATACATACATATATATATGTACATATACACATATGTATGTGCGGCTAAGGGTGCTGCGCTTCTCAAGTACAAGAGGAAGCCATATGAGAAAACAGTTGTTGCCTTCAGAGAAGCTCGCAACAACATCTAGAGGGTTGTCCGCAGATGCGCCAATGACTACTGGCTGAAGCTTTGCAGCGACATCCATACATCTACGGATCGTGGAAACATACGTGCCATGCATGAGGGAATGAATAAAGCATTTGGACGAAGTGCCATTAAGATCGCACCCCTCAAGTCCATCTCTGGTGACATCATTAACCCATTCACGCCGGGTAAAAATGAACAAAAAATGGGGGAAAATGCTGTGCTCATTTTTGATACTTTTCGTGAAATTTCTCTACACTAGATGGCTCTGCCTTACCTGATTTCATTTGGCGGGAAAATGTATTTTTTACTAGTGCTATGAATATCGATGGTTATTTTTATTATAAACATTGTAATTACTATAATGTTATGAACATTAGTAACAGCAAAATAAGATAACATACAATAATTTCGTAAATTAAAGAAACAGGTAAACGGGCGAGACAGGCAGTACAAGTGCAAGTGTAGTATAGAAATAATCAAACAAGTAAACTCGCAGTGGGCCCGTCACGTATACGTGACACCCGGCGCGAATGGGTAAAGGACCGTGCAGATGGAAAGATGGGCCAGGTACTACGAGGGGTTGTACTACCGAGAGAATGTTGTCACTGACACAGCCATGGAGAACACCCCCCTCCACTGCCCATAATGGAAGAACTCGACTCGCCACCGACCATCGAGAAGCTCAGCAAGACCACTGACTCACTATCTTGTGATAAAGCACCAAGCAGCGATGGAATCCCACAAGAGGTAGTGAAGGCTGCAAAAGAGAGTCCCTTCCTTGAACATCTCCATGAGTTTTTGGTTTAGTGCTGGAATGGGGGAGTGATGCCCCAAGACACAAGGAACGCAAAGACTGTCACTCTCTACAAGAACAAGGGCGACCGCAGTGATTGTAACAACTATTGTGGGATGTCTCTTTTCAGCACTGTCGGAAAAGCCTTCGCCACAGTAGTCCTCAACCGCCTGCAGGTACTTGCTGACTGCTTGTATCCCAAGTCGCAGTGTGGGTTCCGTGCCAAGCGATCAACCATCGACATGGTTTTCTCCCTCAGGCAGCTACAAGAAAAGTGCCGTGAACAGCGACGTCCCTTGTACCTTGCCTTCATCGACCTGACAAAGGCGTTTGACTTAGTCGGTCAGGCCTCTTCGCCCTCCTCCACAAGATTAGATGCCCCCCAAGCTTCTGTAGATAGTTCATCGTTTCATGACAACATGTCTGGCACAGTCCAGTATTATGGATCATGATCAGACCCTTTCTCAATCAAGAGCGGCGTAAAAGAAGGGTGTGTCCTGGCCCTGATACTTTTTGGCATATTTTTCTCGCTGCTCCTGCGGTATGCATTCAGCATGTCTAAAGATGGCATCTTCCTCCACACATGGAGCAATGGGAACCTCTCCAACATCACCTGCCTTAGAGCGAAGACCAAGTTGCGCAAGGTCCTCATCCGGGAGATGCTTTTCACTGATGATGCCGCCCTCACTGCTCACATTGAAGCCACCCTTCAGCAACTCAATACCCACTTCGTAGAGCCATGCACAGAATTCAGGCTCACAATCAACCTCAAGAAGACAAACATCATGGGCCAGGATGTCAGCACCACTCAAAGCAACAACCGCCATGGCCCACCTGTTGAAGCGTGTGTGGGACAACCCCATGTTGACCCTAAGCACAAAGATGAAGGTGTATCATGCGTGCCTGCTGAGCACCCTTCTGTATGGCAATGAGGCTTGGACCCTGTACATGCACCAAGAGCAAAGATTGAATACTTTTCACATGCGCACCCTCAGATGACTCCTCGGCATCGCCTGGCTGGATTGTTTCTAATGCTGACCTCTTGGGCCAGGCCGGCATATCAAGCATGTTCACTATCCTCTCCCAGAGGCGCCTGTGCTGGCTTGGACACGTATGTAGGATCGACAATGGCCGCATCTTAAAGAACATCTACTATGTCGAGCTTGCCATAAGAACCAGGCCAATTGGACGACCCACATTGCTCTACTAGAACGCCTGCAAGAAAGTCATCGGCTTTCAACTGCTCAAGCTGGCGTGAAAATGTCAAAACCGGCATCAAACAGGCCAAGGAGAAGAGAGAGTTCCAGCGTGAGGAAAAGAAGAACCACAAACAGCAGAAAATTCAGTCTGCTACTGTCGCCCCCATGGTCCCTACTGCTGACTATACATGAAGCAAGTGTAATAGGAGCTGCTGTTCCCGCATTGGCTTATTCAGCCACAGCCGGCGCTGCAACCCCATAACTATGTAATGATAACTAAGTAATAACACTCAGGTGCAGACTCCATTGTCTCTAGAGACAGAAGGATAACAACAAATA